TTTGGGATGCCCTATACTATATCAATTAGCATTTAATCATAGGTAATTTAGGAATATGAATCTTTGTCTGTTACAGTGTTATCAAGCGAATGTAATTCTTGTATCCTTGTTTAAATGCAAAGATTTGGGATGCTCTATACTATATCAATTAGCATTTAATCATAGGTAATTGAGGAATATAAATCTTTGTCTGTTAAGTGTTATCAAGTGAATGTAATTCTTATATCCTTGTGTATTTTCCTCTCCTTCATCTATGTACTTTCTTGAAACATTTACTATATATATATATATATATTGAGTACTTACTATATGTCATTAAATGTAAAATCCTATCCTTTTAGCAAAAACTTGAAGAATTAACAGTTACGAATACATATACACAACACACAGAGGAAACAAGATCAGAGGAAATGATAGTAAAAGAAAGACTAGTAAAACTGAGAATCCAATATTAGTACATGGGGACAGAGTATACACGGTGTGACAGACTGAGTGGGTAGAAAAAGGAAAAAAGAGACAGAATGGTGAGAGACTAGAGTATGATATTGCCAAAGTAATCACCAGATGCTACTGCTTAATATAAACCGTACCAAAGCAGAGATGCAAATATGTTTTACATGAGTTTTTAAAACTCACATTTCAAAAGCGATTTGCCACCTAGCCTGTAGGTGAAATTAGATTAAGACTAGTGACATCTGGTGGATATTTTGGAAATGACCCTTGAGTTTCTCTACTATGAAAACTGCATAAATGCCTCCATGCCAGTGGACTGTCAACAATAATATATATATATTAGGGCTCCATGTTACTTAGTTAAACTGTCATGACAGCCAGTTTCGTGGTACAGCTGTGAAGTGCTGTGCAAGAGAAGCCAGACGCGGGGGTGCCAGCAAGTGGTGTAGTGGTTAAGGTGTTGGACTCCCATGTGGCTGACCGTGATTTGAGTCCCGGACCTGGCAGCTTCAAACTCACACCAGCCAAATGTGCATGCATGCCTGAAATCTCAAGGGAAGAATAGAGGAGAAGGGACTGTGGCATGGCCATCCCCCAGGGGAGTGACTTCTTGCTTTCTGTCTCTCTGTCTCGCTAGCAAGCACACGCACCCTATAGCAAAAATCTCTTTCTCAAAAAAAAAAAAAAAAAAAAAGGAAACCAGATCCCACATGAAAACCACAGTTTAAATTCCTGGCCTGGTCAGCCTGAAATGTGCCAGGCTCCTGTGGAAATGCCAGGATCCCAAGAGTGACTGGAAGATTAAAGAAAGGGAATCACAGAGTGACTAGAACCTACGGAGGCTGTCTTTCTCTTTCTCTCTCTCATTCTCATGTGCTCAAGCACAGGCTTTATCATGAGTAAAGGAAAACACTGTCATGAGATAATTTTTCTGCAGGATCAGAGTCTTATGAGTAGAAGTAGTCAGATTTTGGGAACCAGCAGTTAGCGTAATGGCTATGTCGCTGGACTCCCACATAGTCGACCGCGGTTTGCGTCCTGGACCCGGTGGCTTAAAACCCACGCCGGGTGCATGTGCGTGCGTGCCCAAGATCCCAAGAGGAGAATGGAGGAGAAGGGATTGCGGCGTGGCCATCCCCTCTGGGGGGTGATTTCTTGCTTTCTGTCTCTCTGTCTCTCTCTGTCTGGCGAGCGCACGCGCCCTATAGTGAAAAACCTCTCAAAAAAAAAAAAAAAAAGTAGTCAGATTTTTACCAAATCCCTTTTTTATCCCCCAAGTGATGTCTACTTGCTTTCTAAAGGGCATATACAAAATCTGTTACAATTCTTTTCAAGGTAAAATATTCTCATGCTTTGACACAGTCTTAACTGAAAAAATAAATTATTTACAAATATTGGGGTGAGGAACCTGAAAATCTAACAATGGGTCGAGAAAATGGGAGCCATTATGTTTACCAAATATATGTACCCACATTAAAACAACCATCTAAACAATTCTGTATTAGTAAATGTTAAGTGAAGAAAAGCAAAGTTAAAAAGTGTGTACATAATATGATCTCATGTAAAAAAGACATAGACAAAAAGACTGAAATAATACATTTCAAAATACTAACAATGGTTGGTTCTGAATGGGAAAATTATCTATTCTTCCCCATAGTTGGAAATTAATGCTCTGTAATTAATGTAAATTATTTCTCTAAAAAAACTTTATTTAAATTTTTTAAGAGAGATTTTTGCTATAGGGCATATGCACTTGCCAGAGAGACAGAGATAGACAGAAAGAAAGCGAAAAATCACTCTCCAGGGGGGATAGCAATGCTGCAATCCCTTCTCCTCCACTCTCCCCTTGGGATTTTGAGCATGCATGCAAACGCACCCAGTGTGGATTTTAAACTGCCGGGTCCAAGACTCGAATAGTGGTCAACTACATGGAAGTCCAGCGATGTAACCATTATGCCATCTACTGGCCCCTATTTAGATTTTTTAAGCAATGCTAATGTTCTGATTAATGGCTAGAATTTTTAAATCCTTACCTGCTTTTATTGATTTCAGAAAAAGATGATAAATCAAAGTCCAAGTGAGCTTGAATCTCCAGAAGAAAAGAAGGGAAGTATGTTTTGATTCTGTTTCAAGATCTGATTCCTGATGGAAAAATCCTCCAGATATAGAACTGTACTGAAATTCCAGTAATGTCATCAGGCTCCTCTTTTTTTTTTGGGGGGGGGGAAGGTTTTTTGTCATAGGGTGCATGTGTTCACCAGAAAGACAGAGACAGAGAGACAGAAAGTGAGAAATCACCCCTTGGAGGGATGGCCATGTCACAATCCCTTCTCCTCCATTCTCCTCTCAGGATCTTGGGCATGCATGTATACACGCCTGGTGGGAGTTTAACCCACAAGGTCCAGGACTCGAACCACGGTCAACTACATGGGAGTCCAGCAATAAAGCCATTACGCCAATTGTGGTCCCATCATCACCCTCCTCTAACAATCCCTACAAACTTACAGAGGGCTCTGCTGGCAGCAAGGAGTTGCAGAATCTCATAACCACTTGGGTCCCCATCTTCAGTATCCCTAGAAGAGATGAATCAGGGCCACCTTCAATAGGAAGAGGGAGACATATGCAAAATATACAGGACAGGAAAATAATCCCAAAAGCTAAATCAAACTAGTTGAGGTCAGAACATACTCCAATCTACCAATTTAAGTCAACCTGAAGTGTCAGAAAAGGGCCCTGGTTAGCAGGAAATGCAGCAGGGTTATCCCAATGGTATTTTAAAACCTAGTCACTCAGTTGTTGTAATAAAATAAAGATACTTTCCTATCATTAGTCAAGCAAGGGTGCATTTTCCCTCCTCCCTGCCATTATCAGTCAAGGACCACAGGAAGTATTCTGAAGATAATCCAGAGAGATTTGGGAGCTCTGCTTCTGACACTTCTTTTTCTTTATCCTTGCGAATTCACTTTAACCCCGCACTTATAATTCTAAGGCAGAAATTTGTATATAGCACTTTTAATTTACAAACTGCTATCATCTTCATCATTTTATTTGACCCTCACAGTAAATAACCCTTGGAAATAGAGTTGACTTATTTTTTATGCCCAACTAATACATAGGAGCTAGGCTAGGGAGTTGTTCTGCCAATTAGTGATGGAGGCAGTCCTCCACCCAACCGCTTTTTTTTTTTTTTTAGAGGATTTTTTTTGGCTATAGGGCGTGTGCGCTCGCCAGACAGACAGAGAGAGACAGAGAAACAGAAAGCAGGAAATCACCCCCTAGGGGGGGTGGTCACGCCGCAATCCCTTCTCCTCCATTCTCCTCTAGGGATCTTGGGCACACACGCACACGCGCCCAGCGTGAGTTTAAGCCACCGGGTCCGGGACTCAAACCGCGGTCGACTACGTGCGAGTCCAGCGACATAGCCATTATGCTAACTGCTGGTCCCCACCCCACCACTTTTGAACGCACTTTTCCCTAGGTCTGTGCCAGAGAAGGAGGGGGGGGGGAATGGTGACAATAATGATAATAAGTGGCAGCCAGCATTTGACTACCTACTATGCACTGTTCCAAGTGCTGTCATTCTCACAAACACTGTGAGGTTGATACTATAATTACCAACCTTTTTGGGCTGTGATTTCATTTTCAGTACTCTACCCATTTTCAGGGACTCATCCTGCTTACAGGACAGCGGTATTCGGGGAGGATGGTGTACAGGTGAGAAAGGAACATGAGTTACCACTCGTCCCCAACCTCTGAGAGTCTGAAGCAGGAACTGCACACTAAGAATCCACAAAGCTGGGCAGGTTCACACCCTGAAACTTCAGCTTCTTTCCTCCCATCCTACTCTCACCTCCACGTGTACCCAGTTCCGATTTGAAAGCTCAACCGGTGTAATATTATTTGCCAGTTATCAGCCACCTTTCAGTACCTACCTTTTTATTATTGGTCTGTCTGGTTCAGCATGTCTATCCGCAGACCTCCTGGGCTCGGCCTTGCAGGGCTTTGGCGTCGACGGTGCGTTCCCGCTGCCATGGTGACGGGGAAGCCCGCCGTCCCGCCCCCCCAGCCACTGCCCCGCTTGCAGCAGACCCCAGTCAGCCCCTGCCCGCCTTGACCCCGCCTCCAGCCCCCCGAGACCCAACCTCTGCTGAGCCGGACCCCACCTCCGCCGGCCTCAACCCCCCCCTGCCCCCGCGTGGCCCCCGCCTCTGCGGACCCGAGACCACCCCCGGCGTTCCGGATCCGCCTCCTAACGGCCCAGGTCTTGACCCGCCCCTGGCTTTGTAGACACTCCCCTGCCCGCTTAGCCCCGCCCCGGTCATCCAGGCCCGCCTCCCGACGGCCCCGGCCCCGCCCAGGAAGTTCCGCCTCCTGCGGGTGAGAGCCCGCCTCCGTTGGTCCAAACTACCGTGCAGACCCGCTGCCATCCTGCAGAGCCAGGCATCAAGGGTTCTCTGCTGGCTGGAATTTCGAATCCCCCTGAGGCTGGCGGGACCCATTGAACTTGGTAGAACCCCAGACACTCAGCGCAGAAAAGGCACCAGGCATGTTTCTCAGCTGTTTATTGATGCTAGCGGCTCCGTATCCGCAAGGGCCAATGGCCCAGCCGAGGCGAGTACCGGAGCCTCGCCACGCTGTATCAGGGACTGGAAGTGCGGGTATACCCGCCTACGGTTGGAGTACGCTTCCTCAGGCCCCGCTCCCATTTGTTTAGATCTAGGACTCTCCAGTCGGCCCTGGAAGAATGCTTTTCCAGAGCACCTCCTCTCCAGCCTTGTAGTTCAAGGTGTATAGAAGGGATACCGTGGGATAGAGTACAGCAAGACTAGCCGAGTGAATATACAGTTAACAGTTCTCTCTGCACTTTTCTTGAGAGCAGGAGCAATGTTAGGGATCAAAGATCGACCTTCCTGTACACTCGACCTAACCTTATTTTCTGGAACCCCAACCACTCACTGGTTACCCAACGAGGCTCCAATCTAAGAGACATAGGGGAGAAACCGGGGACACCCACACTCCCAGGGGCTCTGGAGTTCTTTAAGCTCAAATGTGGCCAACGTCCATGGCTGCCATCCGATTCCTCAAAGCAGTAGACTCCTTCTCAGGAATAGTGGTGGTGGAAAATGATAGAAACTAGTCCCTCCTCCCCAAGGCTCACACCAGCGTCCCCTTCTTGCTGTCATAGCGAGGTGTGGCCTGGGGAAAGCAAAGGGTAGCATACTCTGTGGCATTTTCTAAATGCAGGTGTTTCACCTCACGGGCAGAGCGCGGCTGGATCTGGCTGCACACGTGGATGTCTGCGTAGTGTAAGCTGCTGTCCTCCGACGTGAGGCCCTGCCTCCTCTCTTGCGGCTGTTGCCGTAACACCTGCTCGTATGTATGCCCCGTGGCTTCCTGGCTCTGGGAGGAATAGGCAGCATTAAGGGAAAGTCTTGGCTTGGTTTTGCCCCTCACCTCCAATGCAGGGCCAGTTAGGCTGATGTCCCTTGCTTGGTTACTTTAGGGGGCTGAGGAGAATGGGGGAACCAGCAAGTTCTACAGATGTGTTTGTACCAGGGTGACAAAGCTGTGTGCTGGGATCCCATGTCTGAGCAGCCTCGGAAAAAGGGACAGAGGCTGGTCATTACCTTTCTGTCATTCTGCTGCAGCTGTTGCTGCTGTGGCTTCAATGTCCTTGCTTGGCTCCCTGAAGGAAAGAAATCAAATTTAAATCTATTGTCTCTTCCCTGACTCTGCTGAAATTAGCCTTTTTGAATCTCTGTTCAACTACAATGGTGGGTTTTGCACCAATCTCCTTGCCTCCATTACCACTTCTTTCAGTTCTTCTAATCCTACATCCAAACTCCTTAGCAGGGTGTACAATCTAGGTCTTTCACAATGTGGCCATACTATCTTCCGACTTCATATCTCACCAACCCTAACAGTTGAACGAGTGTATGTTGAGAATCCTTTATATACCAGGCACTGGGCCATGTTCTGGGGACAGAATGATGAATAGGCCATTTCCTCTGCCTCAGGGAGCTCACACTCTACTAGGGGAGACAAATTAGCAAACAAACTATTACCGTGCAGTGTGACAAGTGCTCAGATACATCAAACAATCAGCCACTGTCAACAAAGTCCATCCCTTTCTTTTCTTCCTTCCTTCCTTCTTTCCTTCTTTTTGCATGATCCAATTCCTCTGTCTAAGGACACCCACTCCTCCCTCCTCTGCTGACTTGTGAACCTGCCATTATTGCTTTGACAGCAGTGTCTCTCCTGTTTTCCCATGGCGTGAGGGTATGTCTATTATAGCACCAGGAGAATATACTGCAGTTATTTGTTTACATATATCTCTTTCAAACTTCATTTTCAGCTCTTCCAGGACTGAGATTGTGTGTCCTTTATCTTGTGCCTCTCTGCCTCCTTGGGACCCCTGAGAATGCCTCACATTATATGAGGGTTCAGTAAATATATTGCTGGATGAGTGAAAAGAGTGAGCAACCAACCCTACCACTCTGAGATAAGGGAAAGGATAAGATTGAGAGGTTCGGAGATGATTTTGAACCCAGTAACCTAAGATTCTCTTTGGTATGCTATCTCATTTTATCCTTTCCAAGGCCACCACTCTTTTCTTCCCTTGTACCCTTCCCCAAAATGTCAGTTCTATTGTCTTCACTAATTAGCTCTCCCCCCACTACCCTTACCCCAAGTTACCTGTTTTCTTTTTCTTCTGGAAAGTTGAAGGGCAGCTCCTGTGATAGGAAAAACAGGTCACCCATGTGCAAGGGTCCTGGTCTCTATTCTCCCTTCTTTAACCTTTGTTTGGTCGTTGGTCTTTTTAAAATTCTAGGATGACCTTCCTCTACCTCTGTCTAACAAAGATTCACCTTAAGCCAGGTTCAAGCCCCCTAAAATTTGTCATGGGTATCAAACCTCTTCCAAATGGATGGTTCTGGAAGATGGAGTGGTACAACTGACATAACCAAACCCAAAATACAGTCTCAGGCAACCAGGCACTCCATGCCAGGGATGTAGCTGGCTTGAGGGCTATTCTGGGATTGTCTAATGGGCTAATCCCAGCAGTGGGTAAAGGAGACCTGCCAATAATGGGATATTCCTAGATCCAGAGACTCTCTGGATTCTTCTTCAGTGCTTTTTTGGGGGGGAGAGGAGGGACAGAGTAGGGGTCTTTGCTAACCTGGGAGTCATAGAAGCTGCCACAGCCAGCTTTAACTAGTTTAGGCCCCTCAAAGCACTTTCCTAACAAGTGACCTTCCTCCCTGCTTCTCTGTCCCTGTTTTAATTAACAGAGAAAGTGAGAGATGTTTAACCTTTATCATCCTTTGGAGAACTGTATCTCCAGAACAGGGAGGCTGAATTTGGTGAGTGACTCAGCTACCCGCCCTCACTGCAGGGCAGATCTCTTATACTCATTTCTGAACCCCTGGGTTCCCCATGGGGCCTATGTGTCTAGGTCCTTGTCAACCAGTAGTCTGAGGAAATAAGCTGAATAGTTTGAGACTTACTGCAGATGCTTTTTCCTGCTAGTACATTTCCCACTCTCACCAGAGCCAACCCTGTTTGTCTGTTTGACTTCTCATCTCCCCAGGGAAGTTTCCTTGTTTTGCTAGTGGATAGAGCAATAGAGATAGATATAGAAAAAGAGACTTTCAATTATGCTGACAGTACACTGTGGAAAAATATCAGAATTTTCCCACACACATTTGACAGAGGCTTGTGCTTTGGTGTGATTTTTTAAAAGAATTATTGATTCAATTTTATTTATTCATTCATTTATTTTAATTTAACCAGAAAGAAATGGGGGAGGGAGTGGAAAGTAAAAAAGCAAGCCAACAGGTCCAGGACTTGAACCGTGGCCAGCCATGTGGGAGTGTCCAACAAACTAAA